ATTGAATATATGTGGGATACGTCACAAGTGTGACTGTTCTCCCCAGAAATGACTCATCACAAAGTGCAACTTGGCTGTGGCATTCCAATGAGATGAACGTGTGTTCATGTGCCATCTAGGAGAATCAACCTATGACAACATGCTTGAATGGACAAGACCATTACGAGAATGAGATTGCAACAAAAAATGTTGGGGCAGCCTTTGGTTATAGAACAAGCAAAATCAGTAAACATCTCTGACTTTCTGTCTCTAGCACTGCTCCTTAGAAATAATCTTTCAATGAGCATGCATGAATAAATCTAGTCAATTTAGAGGTAGAGTTTGATTGGATTAGCTAGAGGGTTGTTGGAAAGGATATATCAGGCTTAAATAACAATAAAAATAAGAGATTATAGAATATTAACAATTGAAAAACTTTTAGAGATCACTTAGTTCAATCGTTTACATTTTAAAAACTTTATAAACTATTTTAAACATATACAAAGCTAAGAGCATAGTATCATGAGTTCCCATTAAACTATCACCACTTCAATGATTATTAACTTATGGTCAACCTTGCTTCATTTTTCCCCACCCCAGATAACCATTTCATCCATAAATATTATAGTATGAATCTCTAAAAGATAAAAATTGTCCTAAAACACAATAATACCATAATACCTGCAAAATTAACATAATTTATTAATACTATAAAATATGTGGTTAGCATTCAACATTTGTCCAATTGTTTCATAACTTCTCCAGCTATGTCTCTCAGATTATTTTAATCTATTGTTTCACACACACCCCCCTTTTTTTCCCTGCTAATAAAATGGAAGCCACATACCATATCTTAGAAAGTTTCTCACATTCTGGATTCTGCTGAATGCATCCCAGTGTTGTCATTTTGCACATTCTTGTGTTCCCTGTATTTCCTCTACGCAGGTAGATATAGAGACTTCATCAGATTCAAGTTTGATTGTTTGGCAAGAATGCATCAGGTGATGGAGGCACACAGCTGCTTCTTTTTTGGTGTGAAAACCCCTTATTTTTAAAATATGGGTTAAATTGAAGCCTCAGGGTAGTTAAGTGGTTATAGAATCACATAGCAATAGAATCAAGTCTTTCGATACTCAGTTTGCTACTTCTTTCATTCTTTAATAAGCTGTTAACAACTTGCTGAGTGATTAGAGTACACCAATTACTCTGCTAGGTATTGCATGAGACAGGGTCCCAGCACTCACAGAATCACCCAAGCTATAAATCCAGAAGTCATCCTAGGCTTCTCCACTTTTCTTACTACTACTATGTCCTACTAATTTTACTTATTTTTTAACATCTCTCTCATTTGTTCCATACTTTCCACCCCCATTGCTACTGCTTTAGTTCAGACCTTTATCACTGCTTTCTAAAATGATAAAGGTCTGAATAGCTTCTGGAAGCTCCTCTCTTCCATAATAATATTGCCTTCTTTAGCTCAGCTCTGCCTTGTAAACAAAATATTTTTTTTAATTGCAAATTTAAATATATTATTTTTCTGCTTTAACTCTTTGGTATTCCTCATTTACATGATGGAGTCAATGCTACTTAGTGCAACCTATAGCCCCTCCATCGTCTGGTCTTCGCCTATCCAATCACCCTCATTTGTCACTACTCCCACTCCTCTGTTCCAATCTACTGAATCCGTGAAGTTTTCTAAATGTGCCCACAAGGATATATAGTGATTAAAAGTAGACTCTAGAATTAGACAGACTTGACTTTGATCCCCAGATTCCCCCACTTATTAGCCATGCAACCCAGGGTATACTTACCATCACTGTGCCTCACTTACTTCACCTACAAAATGGGAATGATTTCATAGACATATTCTGTGTGTGTGAAGGATGACTGAAATAGCCCAAGTGAAGAACTAGCATGAGAATACCCAGCAAATACTAAATGGTGTTTATACTGTTCATACATTTCCATGTCTTTTAAACCCATTCCAAAGAATGCTTTCCTTTCCCTTCTTGATAACCTCCCTCCTATTGATAACCTAGAAAATTCCTATTCTGAAGTTGTGACCCAGCTTCACTGCTCTTTTGTCATTTAGAACTAAACCTCCCTATTTCTGCAGCACTCTAAACCTTGTAGATATATATTTTTTAATTTTTTAATTTTATTTTTGTTTAAAATATTACAGATGTCCCTTTTTCTCCCCAATGACCCGTTCCACCCCGTCCCATCCCCCTCTCCAAGTCCCTCTCCCTACCATTGTCTGTGTCCTTGGGTTGTGCATATACGCATATAAATTCTTTGTAAACCTTGTAGATATTTTGATTGTTGTGCCCTAGGGCTGTAAGTCTGTCTTTCTGTACAACAGTAATAATTTTAAATACAGGGACCAGATCTTTCTTATATTTGGCTATCTATGTCCTGGTACATTGGTTCTCCATTGCCCTGGTTCAGGACAGTAAGTGGAGAGCTTAATAATTTAAAGTTTGGTAAACTGACCAAAATGGATGGGGTTGAATTAAATCAAAAGGGCCTATCTAAATTCTCTTTTTATGAGTCTGTATTTTCCAGGCAACTCTTCTGAAATAAAAGATAATTTATTAAAAACATCTGTAGCAGGTTAGTAAGAAGCTAGGAAATTCCCTGGCAAGTGGAATGGGGAAATTGAGACAGATAGTTAAACAAACGGTTGAGCAATTAACAGACAGCTAATAAATTGCAAGATTTTATCTTCTTTAACCAAGGACACTTAGGAGCAAATGGTTTACATTTTTCCTCTCCAACCAGAGAGTGAGTAGCTCAAACCACTCTAAGAAGGGAGGTAGATAACAGAGGCCCAGTTGGTGCCATTAATGCCAGCCAGACCCCAGAATGGATGAAGTCAGGGGAACAAATAACACAAAAACCAATTAGAGCTAGACAGATTCAAGATAAAAGTAAAGCTGACCCGAAAATGATCCCCCACGCCACACACACACTCATTTTGATGCATCAGCATATTAAAAAGCCCATCTGGACAGCTGATGAATATTCTGTTGAGACCTTCCCATAAGACTTCCCCTAAAACTCCTGTCTTTAGGAAACAGATAAAAACCCTTGAGACAAAGGATGCTCTCCCTTGAGCATTCCTGTGCCCCTGTTTCTTTGCTTTCTTTCTCCTAAGCTCTAAGGATTCCCAGGAGACTTGGAACCAGGCAAGCAGCGTGCAGGGGCAGCTCATCCCAGGCTAAACCCCTGATCCTGTTTCCAAGGGCCCTCCTTTTGCCTCAGTAGCTTGTTTCCTGAGTCTATGCAGCCCAGTGTGGTTCACTTCTGCTTCTGTGACTTTCATTCTAAAAGAGCCAAGACAGGCCATGGTCAGTGTGCCTTAGTTGGTTGGAGAGTCATCCTGTATGTCAAAAGTTTGAGGGTTTGATTCCCCGTCAGGGTATGTACAGAGGGTAGACAATCAGTATCCTCTCTCACATCAATGTTTACCGCTCCCCCCCAAATCAATAAGCATGTCCTCGGGTGGGGATTAAAAAGAGCCAAGGCAGCTCCACCTAGGCTCACTCCTGCTGCGGTGGTCTCGCCTCTTCTATCCTAAGCTCTTCCCTTATTTCACTGTCCTCAGCTTTAATAAACGTTCTCTCAAAACCACCTGTACTCATGTCTTGAAATCTTTCCTGCACCAAGTCAAGAACCCATGTGTGCCAGACTGTGCCAGGGCAGGCCTGCCTCATCCCAGTCCCTTTCTGGTGATACATCTAACAAGGTGATAGGCACACACACTTAAAAATGGTATTTATTGTCTGCCTGGAGTGAATCAGTTGGTTGAGTTTTGTCCTGTGCACCAAAAGGATGTCAGTTCGATCCCCGGTCAGGGCAAGTATGGAAGGCAACCAAACAGTCGATGTTTCTTTCTCACATTGATGTTCTCCTCTCTCTCTCCCCCC